CACATTTCATAAGCTGCGCTGGTTACGGGATGTACTTTTCATGCCAGAAGTCCGTCTCTGTCGCAGATCTGTTTTCGCCTAGCTCTATACTGAGTGAAAGCGACCGAGTGCTAGACAGTATACGACTTGGCACCGAAGTATTAAAACTAACCAGTAAACATAGTCGGGTCGATAACTGTCTCCCCCCTGGATGGGTACTCAACTTGGTTAATAACATTAGTAAAAAATCGCCAAAACGTGCAGTCATTGGCGCTCATGCATCAAAGCTATCGCCTTCAGTGCGTAACTACTCAGTTCCTGAACCAGCCAGATGTACCATCATCTCTAAGGCCTGGCTGTGTGTATCACACCCTCCCACCTTCCAATGATCGAAACTGTAGCAGCTAGAACCATTGTGCCTATGGCACGCGGTTTATAGCTGATAGTGTATATCAGGTCATACGAAGGCATTATATTCTGTATCTTGCGTAACTGTGGGTTATCAACACTGTTGATTGACCGTCTATTTCCGAATAACAGTACTGAACTTCTGTCCACATGTTTGCGGGTTCTAGCCTTCCAGCCAATATCGCAGGACACAAGGCTTCTAGGTCGCTTTGCGAAGGTTAACTTTCTCCACAGGACAAAATACATAGGCCTCCAGTGAAACCATTTATCGGTTTACAGTGACGTACTCGTGTGTAACAAAATGCATGCTAGAAAGCTAGCGATTTTCAGCAGACAACTTTCGATCATGTCGCATCGCACAACCCGCTTTTCGGGCATTTTTTGCGATCACCGCACATATGCTGTGCACTCTGATCGTAATTCCGCAACGCGTGGATTTGCTGTGTGACACGTGAATGCGTCATTCGATTGCGCTATTGAGTCGGATTCTCGGTGAATTTTGGCTGCGTTGTCTGTTCCACAGTTCTGAAAAGTACCCGTCTCCTATGTCATCCGAATGGGAATTAGAAAACATATTAACTGGTCACTTAAGATTGTCCAGCTAAGAAGAACAGGGGATGATTTCATCGTCCAATGTTCGTTATAAATACCTTTTCCTTTTACAATACACTCACAGGCATTCCGTAGTTTCATATGAAATCTCTTTTACCAAGATGTTGGAAATTCACCTTCTGATTCAGTTAGGCTTCCCGGGATAGAATATATTTTTGCCAGTAATGAGCGACATCAAACAATTTTCCAATAACTTCTAGAACCAACTAGGCCAGCTTGGTATGCGAAGAATCAAGCGCATCAGCTGTGGCGAAACTCATACAGCTAAAAGAACGTGTTTGAATTTCACGGAGCTTTAACCGTCATCATGTCGTACCGTCCCTATTTTGTCACTCCTTCGTTCAACACTGCCTGCAACACATGAAGCCCCTTACTACTTTCTCGTCTATCAGGCGAATATGGTTGTCAGCTTTCTCTTGGGTTCGTGATTTCCCTTAGGCGAAGGTTCCCTATCTACTTCAACCCGTGGTGCGCCAGTAGTTGACTGCCGGAACTCTTGTTGCTTGAAATCCGAGGTGAGAGGTTTATTGAGGCAGAGGTAATCAACCAGTAAATTTATACATAGAAGTACATGGTGACTTGTACAGATTCTTCCGAGTAAAACATCATTAGATAATAGGCCTGCTTATCCCAGTGAAAACGAAATTTTTTCTTAGAACAACAGTTGTTCGGCCTCTTCATTATTTCACCACACTGTTTAGTGCCATGGTCTTAACACTGTAAGCGTTTGATAAGCTTCCAAAGATTGAACAGCTCTATCGCCTGTGATATGTTGACGGAAATTGATCGATTTGGTTTAGGACAAGTTCTGTCACTTGACAGGTTATTATTCAGCTTCACTCTCACGAATGTGCACTTGATTTCGTTTATGACGGGTGATGGAGGCCAAAGGCAAACGATTTAGGTCTTCTATGATAAAGGAAGAGGTTGTTGATGGGTAATTATAACTCTAGATCAAAAGCCATGTCATCATTTGAATAAGATCACTTTGCTTCCAAAGACGACAGGAATCCTATCGGCGTCAGAGACATTGATTTCGGAAATCCTTGGATTCAGTCCAGTGAATAGTATAGTAAGGGTGAGGTGCGAAGTCATAAATTGGGATAAGGGCTGAGGAAGTTGAGTCCAGTTAGGGCCACGGACATGGATGGGGTCATAAAGAATGCTGCAATCGTTGTTGCAGTTCATGTTGTTTACGTTGGCCGAACCTGTATTACGTCATCGTCGCAGCAACTGAAGAGGGTTGGCTGTCTATTCTAAATGTCAAGCGTCCCAAGTTCTGTCCATCATAGTAATGAGATAGTATTTACCCTCATTCCTGTCATAGTTATAGACCTAACGTAGAGTATGATGGTAACCTGTGGAACTTTTCTGCATTTTTCGGTCAACAAAAGTACTAAATCCGACCGAGTTGCCGATACAGTCATTCTGTGTGATTTCATTGTTTACAAATGTACCATCGATCGAGACAAGTTGAAGTGTGCGCTGCAGTTGCCTGTCGCAACTGAAGCTGTCAAAGAAACAATGCACTGACGCACACTAATGAAACCTCGTTGTTATGATCAACCGAATCTACTTTAATTCCCACTGCTATATATCTTCTCTCCGAAGGTTTTGAATTAGTTCCACTATTTTGTCATGAATAAATGTATAGTTGCATCCGTTGTGTAAACCAGATACTAAATGCTCGTATTTTGAATGCTGATCAATTAATTTTCTTTGGTCAGGTAAACGAGTCCAGTAATTACTACACCTTCTTAAAAGAGATACAGGTTACTAATTCGGATGCGATACGATTTTGGCCACCAACATGGTTCGAAAAACAATAGTTTTGCGAAGTACACTCATTTACAAACTGATTTGGTTTTTCGGGAGACTCACCTGGAACCCAGCTGAATCGCTTGGTTGTGATATTTCGATTGCGATAAGTAATGATTTGCAAATATACATTTATCGCGATGTATCGAAACATGAGGCGGCCTGGTGCAGCACATTCAGTTTCCTGGAAACATCACTATCTAGAGATTCAGCTGGGTTTCAGATGAATCTCTCGAAAAACCAAATTAGTTTGCAAATGCGTGTATTTCGCTCATTTCGTTCAATTTGGTTTTAAGTAGAACACAAGGTTGACGGAAACTAGAAGACTGCGCCTACCTAATGAGCCCCAAAAAGGGCAAAACCGGTCGTGGGCTGTCGAAGAGTCTTCAGCAACCTTGTGGGTAGTTTCCTTTATGAAAATAGATGTAGTACTTGGTAATCGGCCTGGTAATTACCACTGCGTGACAGGAGTGAGCTGTGAAGACATGGGTCAGTCGCGTCCTCAGTGGAGCTCATGTATCCAAGCTATTGCCTTCAATGCATAGCTCCCTTCCCAATGGCCACACATAACAGTTCATCTTCAGTGCTGTGATTACACACTAATTTATCAGCTCCCGCCTTCAATGCGTATCTACCTACCCCACCTCCCCGAACCATCGGTGAACGAAACTGTGGCGGCCACAGCGACTGCACGCGGTTATTACAGCTGACAATGATGATGATGATGATGTTGATGATGATAATGATGATGATGATGATAATGATGATGATGCGAAGTACCTGAACTATCCTTATCATTCCTGGGGGTTTTAGTGAAATTGGTCATGGGGTTGATTATGGTTAAAAAATCACTGTACGTTCCCAAAGGTGGGCCGTTCATATCACTTGGACGTATATTTTAGGTGTATGCTGGAAAGAGGAATCACAGATGCACTGAGACCCCGATAACTTCCTTAAAACATCATAAACGAGAGATTCGTCTGGGTTTTAGGTGAGTCTCTCAAAAAAAACATTTTTTTCGCAAATGCGTGTATTTCGCTAATTTAGTGCACTTTGGTCTCAAGTAGGACATAAGGTTAACGGAACCTCGGAGACAGTGTCTGTGTGGTAAGCCCCCAGAAGAGAGAAACCGGTCCTTGGCCGTCGAAGGATTTAAAGTAAACTTTTGAAAGTGTATTACGTCTAAAATTATTTAAATCACCAGACTTGACCAGCTTGGAAGATGACAAACATAGGGCATCGAATCTTCGCCGAAAACTTAGAAAAATGTCGTGAATTCGTTCGACATGCCACAGCCTTTAAGGTGGTCTTGCTGCATGTAGCATGCCTGTAGATTTCGAGAGTATTTTCACTCGGCATATTCACCTTTGAAAGAATTTTGGCTTGCTCGCCCAATTTTGCATGTATGATGTGCCATTTCATGGCTGCATTCTGAGCAGTATGCAAACAGCAGTATGTTTATTGGCCCATTGCAAAGAAGGGAAGGGTTTATGTCCCCTCTAAAGATCATCATCAGAGCGCATCGTAAATCTAAACGTGAGTCAAATTCCGAACATGATGTGAGAGGCGAAAGTGTTACCGTTTCCCCACAAATACACACGGAAAGCAGCTAGATTACGCCTGAACAGGCTGATATGTTCTGTCGATTTTCTCGGAATACGACTTACTCTCGGTAAACGGAAGTCCCTGTTGAGGGTTTCCATTCAGGCAATGCCAGATAGGCAGATTACTTGTGGGATCAATTGAAAAACACCAGAATGCCCGAAAACATGCACCATTAAATAGGACTATGTCAGCTTTGATCAGCAATAAACCAACGTTTTCCACTGAGGTCATGAATATTTCGCAGCCTCATCTCCAGCCTACTTCTTTTTAAGAAAATACTTTAAAGGCTGTGCTCTCTACAGTTTCAATAGCTTCTTTCCGAATTTATCCAGATATTTTTCAGGAACGTAATCGTTAGGTTAACGAAAACGTATTGTGCTCTACTGCTTGGTCGTTATTCTCTGTGAAAGTTAGTCTAACTGGAGATCCATGCAGTTGATAAGCTGAAGTAAAATCGCTGTGGCAAAGAATTATCAGATATGAGCCGTTTTTGATTTCCCAAGTTGAGCATGACCCTCTTGTCAATTAAAGAATTTAGATCAAGCGGACAAAGGTTTTACCGATAAATACGAACTCACTTTAGATAGAACCAGGTAATATAGTAAGTAGTACATCCCAACCGAAGCCAGGCCACTGAGGAGTGGAGAGATGAACCAGGAAACAACTAAAATAAAATGAAACGGAAAGTTTGTGTAGTGTGCTACATAAAGTGAGCTAGGCGTTATCTGAATGCAATAAATCTAAATAGCCACATATAACATAAAAAGGTTCGACCAAACGGATGGTTTATCCTAGCAAAAGAAATTTCCACAAAACGACAGTAGGTAATTTCATGAGAAATTTCATTAAAAAATGACAGTAGGTAATTTCATCAATGTCGGTGTCAAAGCATCATGCAGTGTCATTTGTCCGGAAGAAATACTGTATTTCCCGTCACTCTTAACGTCCGGTCACATATGAATCAAAGCAGTCAGATAAAAGATAAGCCACTTTTCAGAGGTAAATAGAACTATTTTGGCACACTCCAACTCAGTGGTAGAATCACTCCACCACTTCATTTCAAACTACACAGATCATAATCGTTCTTGGCCTACCAGGTCCCAAAGTCAATTTGCTGATGACCTTGCCATCTAACCATTTCTTTTAACCAACGTCACTAACGGATCCTATTTTAACTGCGCTTTTGATTTTCCAACCCGTAGATTTATCACGTTTGCTTCTTCATCAGTATGCAACCTGACCAGAGGTGTCTGAAATAATCCTCTATCGAACAGATTTCTTTTAAACAGGCGTCTGCTAGTCTGGTCTACTGCAAACAATGATGTTGTGGCTATATGCGTTCCAAAAAGCCCAGCGTTTGCACTACAGCGGGGCTTTTCTAAAGAGATCAGGCCTTTTAATCCTTCTGAATCACTATCTATGACCTTTCTGCAACTACGTACCCCTCTTGACGAAGCTAGAAAACTGTCTGGCTTCCTAACCTTCATTTTGATCTTTGGATTTCCTCCAGCTTATTGCCTGCCAGTCTATCTTTTACTTGTCATACGTTTGAACTTGATTAGGGATTTTAGTCAGCAAATTTCGTCTTCCGGCATAGGCATTCATATTCCAAAGTGTCATTCAGGAAAAAGGCAGACGTTTCCTGGGAAATTTGAGCCCATGAAACGATTCTACCTCTGGATAGAGAGGACAAAGTCAACAAATTCCTCAAAGTGGATTGTACTAATTTTAGATAATGCTTACCATTCGATCTATGCATTCATATACTTCCTACTTATAGATCCACAAATCAGCAATGCCTCACGTTGTGGCCTACTGGTGTACATGTATACTACTGATGAAGCGAGTGACCTGTGGGATGATGTCCAAGCGCCGCCGCATCCGATAAAAAGCGCAGGTCACTACAAAAATTATAAAACCGTTTTCGCTGTTCGTTTACAATTGTTTGATCTTCAATGAACGTTCAGAAAATTTCAACAGAACGTTCACTTTTCAAAAGCTCTATGCAGATGAGAGGTCTAATGTTATATCAATGGCTTGTAACTGATTAGTTTGTGTTTGCTAACAAAACACTTCGCAGCAAAGGGTCTTCCTCCCTTCACTGGTAGGGAGCACTTCCTTGAATCTACCATGTTTGCTATCACCAAGTCCAAAGTTCAGTGCTCTACTTCACACCTGAAGACTTCCAACTCTCAAAACCAAGCCGATTTCCTATTTTCATATTGCTCCAATTAACTTAGAGTGTTTCACTCTTGCCGTAAATTAACCTTTAGGATAATAAAACGAATGGTCAGATGATAATTTCTAACAGTTAGACCATAATATGGTAGCAGACTGGTTTATCTGACGATGGAAATTACAAGGCATTCAGGCAGAAAATAATGAAAAAAGCACTTTTGATTACACAGGAAGGCTGGGTATGTGATGAAGGACTACCCCAGTGCCTGTTTTAAAGCATTTTGCACAACTGTATGGAGCAGCCGGAAGCATCAGAATATAATGTCTACTAATTCAAAATACGAGCTAGTGAGTCTTGTGCACGTTTCCTGAAGCCTTCCCAAATGTCCATTTTGTCACTGTTGTCTACTTTTTTGAGGTAATGGATCTTTGAGAGTTTTATTAGAAACCAAATGCAAGGTACCAGATTTTGCCTGCTCCAAGGAGGTGATGGCGGAACATCTAAATGTCAAAGACGTTTGGTCTGGACATTCTCCAGCCAAAAGTACAGTTTTGCGCGGCAAAACGGAAAGCATCTATGAACCACGTCTTTCCGAAAGAACCGAGATTTCATGTTTCAACGCTCCAGTGACGTTTCTGAATTACGAATCTAATAGGAACAAATTTTTAGGGTTGAATGCATTTGAGAACAAAGAACTCGTTCGTTCGTCACCTGAAATGGATCTGCCATTGCTCAGGCATGAGACAACTGTCCTTCAGTTCTAACATTACCTCGGTACTTGTTTTAAGGATCGATACTTGATGAATTTAACTGGTCCTATTCTAGCCTGCATGGCAATAATGCAGCGAACAACAAAGTTCACTGAGCAGTATCAAAGATAACAAGCCAGGTGTTGTTTATTTTTCAACGATCTTTACCGAACAAGCCTCTCTTTTGACACCCATCTTCATGGGAACTGTTGGTGGCACTACAAAAAGCCTGTTGGTATGGTTCACAAGGTTCAAAGGGTATATGTTGTGTGCAACTGCATCATTATGGTTAACATTCAATTTTTTGTCGAATTTATTTTTTCTCGCACTATGATGACCTAGAAAAGAATGATGACTCACCGATTTTTACCAAACCTATCCATTTGACTGACCGGATACCTAAAACAACCAGGCTGAAGCCCACGGTGGCCCCAACAATGCTGTGCGTGCCAGAGACTGGTAACCGGAAAAACGTTGCGACCAAAAGCCAAACACAAGAACCTCAACAACAAGAGAGAGGAAAAAGAGCATACATAGATATGAGGGAATATGAACAGGACGGGTTAAGAAAGTATGCTTAATAAAACAACGACATGTTATATTCTTGAAAATAAGCGCCGTTGCTTTTGTTTTAAGTTGAGTTTATGGTAGGTTTAGGCATGACAGGTTGAGTTGAAAAGCCACGGTGGTAAACATTGGCTATATATGGATGTCAGCTGTAAACAATCTGTAAATAACCTGTGAACAAAATATGGTGAACATAAATAACCGATAACTTAATCACCAGCAATGGACAAAGCGCGAAAAAAGTAACGGCATAAACCAAACGCATGAAGTATTGCTTGTCGTGGACCTGGACGCGTGTTTAATGAATTAGCGTCAAGAGTTAAATACTTATCTCCTCCGACATCCACCTACTGTAAACAGCGTTACATTACACTCTCACTAATTAATCGGTTTTACATTAAACTCACAAAGCTGCTAAACATAACGTAAAATCGGCGTATTCAGTCCATTTGTGGCCTCAGTGAAACGGCTTTTATAAGAAAATGAAACATTCTGGGTAGGTTTGTTGTTCAACCTTGTTGATCTTATTCTTCACACGCTAATAGCCTGGTGACTGCTACCATTCTGCCACACGATGTTCCTGCTGCTCTTTTTTGAGTTGAATCTGCAATCCTGGTCATATCAATAAAAGTGCGTCCAGGAAAAACACAGGGTTTTTTAAGGTGTACATATCGCTTCACCGTACACACTGAGCAGATTCACTGGGCCACTTCAGTGCGACGCAAGGTAATTTAACCAAAATGCATATTTCATTCAAAATCTGAGGAGAACTTGGTTCATATTTACCCGTAACCTACAACGCACGTCAAGACCTCGGCTTGGGGTCAACCGGCATTTCTTTTATTTCATTTGTTTCAGAGAGTCTGCAAGAAAGATTTTTTGTCAAACTCATTTTTAGTGTAATTGATATCAGCCAATAATGATCTCTAATCTTTGCTGTACTTAAAGTCAAAGGTAAATCTGCCAATTTCAAACCGTAAGAGCCTCTAGGCACACAGCCCAAGACGGCTAAAGTGAGTCAATATTATGACACTGTACAATAATACAACAACAAATCGGACCCACGCAGAAGGGAACCAGGAAGACAGTGCGCTTTGCTAATTGAAAGACGATTAAAGAAAATCGTCAGTAGATTTCACATCCATAAACGGAACAGATCGCGTACGTACCACAAAGTGAAGCCACTTGACCAACCATCAATATAGCTGGACCGTTTTCCAAATCAACAAACATGTCCACGTCCACTATGCCCTTTCTGATCGTATTTGCTACTTTTGAACCTGTAAAATGCAGGTGATTAAAACGGTGACAAATAAAGTTACCCAGGAGTATAGCACCGGATAATTCACATATTGTGGCTAGAATACATGCCTGTCTGAGTGTTAGAACTTTCGCACCAACACTAGTTCCGAAAGAATTGGCCACATCGTTTGCCCCTATTCCAAAGGCAAGCAAGAAAGCCACAATAAATCCCACGACAACCATCCATATTTGGTCCTCTGGAATGAGCATGCTTTTGGAACGGGAAACAAAAAACGAAATAGGACCGATTACTCCCGGGATGAGAGGCAGTAGAGCTTCGGTCGGCGCGGATTCCGAACAAGCTGAAGTAAATCACATAGGCAATACAAATAAAATGTATCTGGAGGCAAGCAAGACAATAGTTCACAAAGTTGAGTTTAAAAAAACTTATTGAATGCTTTTAGGCTAGAACGTAAATGAAAGGCCCCAGTAGAACTGGTGAGAAGAAACATTATACGTCTCTCACGCAGAAGGTAAGGTAGATGAATGAATACCAGGAGTGCCTTGGCGCTATCCAAAAAAGTTTCGCTTACAGCAGGTAAACTTGACCAGACATTGAATATAGATTTCTTCTTATCCGTGCAGCCGACCCGTGATGAGAAGATGTACAGTTATTTCATCCTTGTTGAGAATCAGCAGCAGTGCAGATTCCGCGAATGGCAGAGGATTTCGAAGTCACAGCATTGCAGCCACTGGTTGAAAATTTAACTGTTTTGCCACCTGCGGCTGATCAAGCGTGGACAGCTCTCACCACGCTGCATTTCAAGCAAAATACTCAAATAATGTCAACTGGTTCCCTCCATTTATTATAATAAAGCTGCAAGAAAACCAACGTGTGCCCCTAAACCAACGCGTTTACAAGAAAGGAGTGACCAGGCCGATCAACATGGTTTGCCCCAAGAACGCCTCACTTTGACGTGCCTTAGGAGCTCTTATTATACAGCACTTTTGACAGGCCTTTAAACATAAACTCTCCGAAGAAACATTTATTCTCCTCGCACACTGTTCCTGCTTCTACTAGGTTGGAGAAATTCACTCCCATTCCACTCTCAGCTGACTCAGATCAAGCCACCACAAGGAATATCGAACCTGCTCGCAAGCAGTGGGAGTAAAACAGGTTCGGCCACTATTATACCTTAATAGGCACCTTTACAAATACAACTAACAAAGCGAGCAAACTAGTTCTCTGAGGTGTTAACAGAAAACATAGGACACTACCTGAAAAAATATCATTTATTCCACTATCCACGTGCTCTCGTTAATGGCACATCTTCAGCTACTTACAAAAATTTAACAGCGATAAGGTAATAACACTCACTCTTCTCAGTGGCTAGTGATCCGCTAAAATAATAACTGCATACGCCATGACGAGAAACAACTGGGCTCAGTTTTAACTAATAAAAAACGGGGACTGGGTGATACGTCGAAATGAAATGAAATCGGTTTTCCTTACACTGAATCAATCCGGCTGATGACTCAGTTAATGATAAAATTATGGAAAACGGGGTGCACATGACGACAAAGCCACCGGCCTGCGATGAAGATGTCACTTTATGACAAAACAAAATTCTTCTCGACTACGGGCCAAAACAACCAGCTCCTTTTCCTGGACTGATCAGTTGGCTGAATAAGTCACATTGTGAAAGTTTTGGCTTGGCTATTCGCTCAGACGTCACCGCCCAATCATCTGGTCGGTGCTCCAGTTTTGGGCACAATGTCGAATGCCATGTCCATCCGTGATACGGGTAACCAGCGAGCTGACGCACTTCAGGCATATCCACCATGGTGCAACACCAGGCCTAATGCCCGGTCCAGTACTGTTCCTTGCCTTGATGACTGATTTGCCCACTACCCAGTCGACATCCCGAAAATTATTTGCCGATGACGTCTACATCTTCGAAGGACCCGATCAACATAGGACCACCTCATATTTCAGGAAAAATTGTCGGTGGTTCATGGGCATCTTATAAATAACCGCTGTATGTCTGATGCTAGAATATATCACATTTTCCACCACCTAATACTGAACTTCTTAAAACTGCATTCTCGGTCACTAGTGTTTGCAAAAAAAGGGATAAATACCTTTGAATAGTCAGTAGATAAGCAAGTGAAACTTCAGATTATTGCTGCGTACACGGTTTGCAGGTATTTGGAAGTCTCATGCCGCGCATTGTGGACCTACGTCTTGATAGGGAATGTAATCTTTGATTTTGGATTATCCTACTTCGAGACCTGACATATGTAAATATGCATTTCGACCTGAAGTGCACCGCTGTTGCTATTACCACAACCTCGTAAGCGATTCCTCGTTAGTTCGTCACATACAAATTGGACCTGCACGATAAATACCTCATTTTCGAATGTATAGTTATACATAGTCGCTGAATGGCGCTTTAGGTATCACTGATTTGTTTCAACACTCTCATCACGTGCATGTAGAGACCGTGTAAGCCGCCGGGGATTATTTTAAAAAAACGTTACACCTTACGCAAGGACGGGGACAGACTTGAACAAGCACTTAAAAACGGTGTTACAGTGCATATAAGCCAAATTAAGGTTCTATTTATCATTAAAATCTTACGGAGCCTTTAATGAACTCCTCATATGTCACAAAAATGAATAATCGAAGGGTTGTATTAATGGTGATGTTGCTAAATTGCCTAATGTGCTATTTATCACAATACCGAAACCCCAATCGAAAAAGCATCGAATAAGTGCCTGTCCAGGTTTGAAAAGCGGTAATAAATAACGAGTTTTGAAAAAGCACGCTTTCTCTAGGCCGTAGCAACGACTAGGCACTTTACGACATCAGCCAGAGATCGACCCAGTACGTTGTTCAGAAAGTGAAGATCTTCCAGATTTATCTCCGAGCCCTTGATGATGCAGTGCCATCCAGCTTCCCCTCTGTCCCTAGAGAAGTTGCAGTGGTAGGAGGGGGCTTTCCGGACCCCCCAACCCACCCGATCTCCATTTGTGTTGAATTCCGAAGCCCTTTTTTCTGTAACACTTGGAACTCATTTACCAGGCACTTAACTCATAACAATCGCATGCATTGTCCGGTCCAAACTCCCTCAGTACCCTCACTTTCCAGCGGTGGACGAATCATGCAGCGTTAGAAGTAAGAGATATGGTTCAACAGCATTGGAGCCGGGTGGCCCTCTAACACTTCTTGACATTCATCTTCTTCCGCTCGCAATTTTTGGTACATGGCACAAACATTACATGCCGCACCCTCTGTCTGGGCTGCTGATCCACATATAGATGGTGATAACAACATGACTCCCAGTACATCCTATTCAAAACTTGCTGTCCAACAGTGGAGGTCTCAGACTGTAGGTTATAGGACCATTGTCAAGAAGCTTCACGAGGCTGATGCGATGTTCGTCCCAAAAAACCAGCACTCATTCGGAGGAGACTCACGCTGCCTAAAAGAGTTCGGCGACTTCTGGAAAATATGTCATAATCCTTTTTTCAAAAAGTTGACCACAGGGGATACGGAAGATGAGCTGGCATTTCGTAAAATGCGGAACCGCTGTAAATCAGAAATTCGCCAATGGAACATACGAAAACAAGCCACCATCCTGGACCCCGGTCGGAAAAACAAAATGTTCAAATACATGAGACATTGCCGCAGAAACAAGGTATCCGCCTTATTCTCTAGAGACAGGAACGGAAAACCCACGATTGACCCAACAGTGGTATTTGAGGTTCGCAGAAAACAGAATGCAGGTCTATATTCAGCCCCATCGTCCTCGCAACATCCACTCATGCCAAGGCGTAACTAGAAACAGCCTCTAATCGACTTGTTCTTTACGATGGAGGACATTCTTCAAATCTTGCACAAGATCCACCCGTTCTGCGCCTTGGGGCCCGACGAGGTCCATCCAAGGATCCTGAAGGAAACGTCGTCTACACTGGCAAATCAGTTATACCTGGTGTTTCGTCGGCCACTTGACGAGGGCCGGCTTCTCTCTGCTTGGAAGGAAGTGATTGTCACGCCAATCTACAAAATTGGTGACTGACTATCGCCTGGCAGCCACAGACCTATAAGCCTCACTAGCGTGCCGTGCAAGGCTGTGGAACGCATTCTGTAGCGAGCTATCCCAAGTCACCTTACTTCCAGTAACGTAATATCTCCAGCTCAACACGGATTTCTCCCGCACCGTTCCGACGTGACAAACATGTTCGTTTTTATGGACAGCTCAACCCAAGCCAAGGACGAAGTATTCATAGCGGATGCCATATATCTCGACTTCTCAAGAGCGTTTGATAGGGACCCACACGTCCCGCTACTCCAAACAACCAAGTCTTACGAGATTCAAGGGAAAATCCCACACCGTATCAAGGCGTTGCTATCAGACAGATCATTCTCGTATCAAGGCATTGCTATCAGACAGATCATTCCGAATGACAACAGGCTCAACCTTCTCTTCTCCAACGCCGGTCTACATTGGAGCTCCTCAAGGCTCCGTCCTGGGAGCACCCCTGTTTCTGATCTACGTTAACGACCTCTCAGATGCTCTTGTAAGTTCATGTCTATTCTTTGCGGACGACTTAAAATCCTGGAGTTTCAATGCCAGTGCCCTCTAAATGGATGTAGACGCTGCAAAGCAGTGACCGTCGGACTGGCACATTTCTTTGAATGACGAAAATTGCGTCGATGTCATTTGCAGAAGACTCAGCGAATGCCTTTGTTATGCATGGTGAGAAGGGACCAGAAAACAAGATGAGGATAGATGCCAAAAAGGATTTGGGCACCTGGGTCTCCTCAAATTTGTTCTTCTCATTGTACCATAAGAAATCGGCCCAAAAGGCATTCGCCATTTTACGGATGATCTGACGCACCTTTTCCCATATTACTCGCAAGTTGTCTACTCAAGGCACATGAAAGACGTCATCGTCATTGTTCATGTCCAGCGAGCCGCTATGAAATGTTTGCGGCCTCAAATCCGCGTTCCATGATACCCGCCTCGCGATGCTCGGTCTCTTTCCGTTGGAGTGCAGCCACCTTTGAGGGGACCCTATTCCTACTTATTCCCTGGTTGAACAAAGCTTGACCAACAGGTTTTTCACCAATGAACCAGCAAACACATGGCGGGGACAGTAAGAAGATTTTCAAGATCGGAGCGCACAAGTTCATCAGGAAAATTTTTTCTCATTTTGGATAGTAGGTGCGTGGAATGACTTTGCTCCGACGGTTGTCCACGCTCCTTCCAGAACCCAGTTCAA